TCTGCTGCTGCTGACCAATCCCTCACGCTGCCTCTTCCAGTCCTGAAAGCTCTTGGTGTGGTTCAGGAAAGGAGGTGTGGTTGGGGAAGAGCATTTTGCTAATTTGTCCAGAGAAGATCCAAAGATCTCGGGTTGCACCCTAAAGGGTGGCCTTTCCTGGAGGCTTAGTCCACCCCTGAGCATCCCAAAGGTGATGCAGCACAAGCAGCTTTCAGAGCTGCTCCTGCCATGGCTTCCAGGAGAAGTCCTGCAGAGGGAGCTTCAGCCCCGGACAGGAGCTCAGAGGGTGGGAAATCCACTTCTGCACCTTTCTGACCACCTCTCACGCCCAGATGGAGATTTGCGGGCAGGTAAATCCTGGTTCCAGCCTTGTGCCCATGCAAGGGACAGCCTGTGGCAAGGAGCCCCAGTTCAGGTGCCTCCAGGACATGGGGCTGTCACCCCACGCCGAGGATCAGTCTCCAGCTCCAACGGTGACCCGCTTCATTCATCTGTCTTTCACCCCTTTGGGTTTCTTACTCCAGCAAAAGATGTTGGGACAGCAGAGCTTTCCCAGCTGTTTTAGGGGTTGATAAACACACACGGGATCATCCCATCTGAGAGATGAGCCCATTTTCCTTGGGGATGTTGCAGCAGAAGAGCCAAGCAGAGAGCAGCCTGTGATGCTCTGAATTACTGCTGAGCTCATCAGCAGATGAAAACCCCCAAATCCTGCCCTGGTGTCACCAGACCAGTGACAGGATCAGGTGGGGAGGGATCAAACCCCAGAAAGCAGAGCTGGGGCTCTACATCAGGCTGGAGCATTTTGGAGCAGGGAGAGGCAGAAGGGGACACCTGGGGCTGCTGGGGGAGTACGGGAGGGAGCAAAGGGCCGTGGGGGAATGCAGGCGAGTCCCAGGGCTGTCCCTGGTCCCCAAGGGTGGCAGCTTACCCCGAGGGGTGTGACCTTCTTGCAGCCCTTGCTCAGCCAAAGAGACAGAACAATTTCAGGGAAGTCAAAAGAAATTCAGCCTGGGTGTTACCAGATGGCATCAGAGCATGTCCTGCCAAAGCACCGACACGAAGGGGCAGGAGCAACCACATGAGACCTGCGAGACTGCTCCTTCCACGAGGCCCCAGCAGAAGGCTCAACATTTTAAAACCCAAAATCCAAATATCAGTAAAACTCTGACTCTGTTCCTTGCAGCTGGGCTGAATGGGCCACCAAAGCCCAGCAAACCACAGACGTGGGCACGATGGTGGGATGCAGCTTTCACAGGAAAGAGCTTCTTCCTCTTATTTCAGCTGAAACTGTGGCCAGGGAGGTACCCGAGAGTGACCCAAGTGACACTTTACTGTGCGAAAGCAGCATCTAGTGACAAGTGGCGCCTGCTCCGTGGGCAGAGTGGATGGAAGGGGGGGTACATTTGGGAGCAGCCCTGCTGGAGCAGCTCCCAGGGACCCTCCAACACATGGAGCCAGACCCCGTGGTGCTGCAGGGTGTGAGAGGCCGGGCAGACACGCACAATGGATGGTCAGCCTATCATGTGCATATACGTATGCATGTGAATGCATATTGCATGCAAATTTCTGTGCGTGTACAAAACCAGGGGATGACACTAATTAACCCAACCTGACACACTCATTTCCTCCTGCCAGGAGCTTCTGCACCACACAGGAACCACATCCAGCCTCTGCTCCACAGCCCTGAGAGCTCAACAGGCACCACCCAGCTCCACTGCAGCCAAAGCCTGAGCGGCAGCAGAGACGAGATCAACCTATGAAGAATATCTTGGGTTTTGGTGGCATTATTGGCCTGTACAGTCTGGAGATGAGCTCCTCTGCTATGGGCACAGATTGCTTATCCCTAGCAGGGCTGCCTGGCTCGCCCTGCCTGGGTGAACAGCTGGGAATGGGCTGTGCTCCGAGACAATCCCGCAAATCCCTGTCATGCCAGTCCACGAGGGATCGTCCCCAGAAAGCCTCTCTGACAGTCAGGGTGCTGAACAGCATGTCACATTGAAGGCTGAAGGAACTGTGACAGCCAGGGGAAAGCAGATGCAATGGGAACATGACAGCTTTAGGCTCTGATTTTGTGTCCTTTCCAGAGCTGCTGTTATTTTATGGGGAGCCCCAAATATTTGGTAGAGGGAAGAAAGGAGGAAAGATATTAAAATAAAGCTGTGAGATGGCACCCACTGCAAACTGGCCAGCATCTGCTCTCTGCACTGACACCAGTCCATGGAGACAAGACCCAGGTTTGCATTTTATAAAGTACAAGACAGGCAGAGAAACAACCAGTTCCTCAGTTCTCCTACAATCCAGTTCGCTCCCCTTTTGTGAGTCCTTAGATCAAGTCCCCTCACCTCTCATGGCTCCATTCACCCCATCTCCTTCTCCAGGCACTGAGGACCCTGTCTTAAAAATGCCTCTGCCCTACATCTAGTTGCAAGCAGAACAGCAGCAATTCCTTCCATTTGCATCTTATTATTTAGAAGACATGGTTTGCAACCTTCCTGCTTGGAAGGACATGACACACTCCGAGCTGGTTGTGCAACCCAAACTCCCATCCCTCCCACATCCTCCCAGCAATTCCCAGCTCAGTTAGAGCCTCGTGTGCCACAGGCTGGCTCCGAACAGCATCGACCCCCCAGGACCACAACCCAACCCTTCTTTTCACCTCCACGCTCTCACCTTGCCATCTTCATGATAGACAAAGATGTTCCTTGTGCTATTGTCCTTCAAGTAAGTGATCTGCAGTCCGTGTGGGTTCCCGATTTTTGCAGGCTGGAAAGTCGCATTTAGATGTTCAATCTTCATAATTGCTTTGGGTTCTTTTGCCTGGAAAACACAGCTGAGTGAGCAAACACCTGAGAATTGGCTGTCAAACCAGAAAGCACTTCACTTGGTCAGAAAAAACTCCTGATTGAGGCCATTAGCTAAAAAAAAAAAATAAAATATATATATATTCTCAGCCCACAAAACTGCCTGGTGATGAGCTATCAGAGGCTTTGCTCAGGCAGCAGTGAGTGCTCTCTGCCAGCCTGCGAGAATGCTCTGCTCGTCTACAAAATTCAGCAGAGTTCAAGAGGAGAAAGATTTCAGGCCAGAAGCAAGATGGACAGGTCAGGTCTCATGCTAGGATGTTGTGCTATGAAGACAAGCATCTTCACCGAGCCTCCTGCCCCAGCCTCTGTTCAGCTGTCTCCTGACTCCTCGATCAGCCTCTTTACCTAATGACAAGTGACCAGCACTTACACTGGCACAAGCACTATCCAAGCAGAAAGAAAATAATTCAGCCAGACAAAACAATTGCAAACTGCCAACTAACAGGCCAGGATGCTTTCTGCATCTCAAGCACTCACAGCCAGTTCATCCTTGCCCAAGCAGATGGAGGATTGATTATCCCCTTTGCCAATATCAGACCTGGGTGCCAGGGGCCACCATTCCCATGTCCCCACCAGTCCCATCCTCCCACGTGACCCATTGGCTTCTGACTCTGCTCCTCCGTTTGCCCTCCAAACTGGGAACTTCCTTTCCAGAGGGACAAATATATACTTACACCCCACCTCTTGGGTGGGTTAGCCCAATGGTGAGCCTGGATCAGGCCCTCCCCGGCACCAATCCCATCTGTACCCTCTGTGGCAGGTCACTTGAACTTTGTAGCATAGTTTGTCTTCCTACAAAACATCTCCAGAAGTTTGCCACCCTTTCAGGACTGCACTGAGAAGTGAAGTAGCAAATGTGAATAAAACATCCCAAAAAATAAGAGTACGCGCTTGGTAACAGCAGATTTAGGGCACGGCCATGAGCCAGCAGAAGGTCACACAGTGGTGCCATGGTCCCCAGCACCACACGGAAGTCCCTGAGATGTAAGTGCCACTTTGGGAACTTGGGGACTTGCCGTGGACACACAGCTGCTGTGGGTGACCACAGTGGGGAAATCCCAGCCAAGATGATATGTCTAGACAGAACCATTCCCACCATGGCTATGGTCAACAATGGAGCAAAGCAGCTTTCAACTACCGGAGCACTCAATAGCAACTGAACAGGGGCTGCCAGGACTTTCACTTCTCCCTCAGTAATGACTGTCTCTCTCCTGTCCACGAGATGCAATTGCACCACACCAAGCTGAAGGAGAAGACAGCACTATTGAAGTTGGTTGCCAGGCGTGGAGAAGTGCGGCTGGACGTTCCCCTCCTCTGCACGGTGTGGCTCATCGTGACACCATGATTGAGAAAGACACTACTTGAGAAAACTGGTTGGTGACTTGGTCTGGGCTGTTCTCAGCTGCAATGTTCAGGGGAGACTCAAAGGCGAGAGAAAATACCTTGTCCTCCTCTATTCCATGGTGCAGAATAGTAAAGCGTCTATCCATTCATCACAAACACGATTTTCATGGTAATAGCTCCATTTCTCACTTACAAGAAATGAAATGTGCCCTGGGGAAAAAGACAAACGCTTCCACTGCTTGATGCTGCAACAGCAAACCAGGGGCTTTTCCTCTGGACTGTTTGCCACGCCACGCCACGCAAAGGAGGTTTGAGACCCCAGTGACCACTGTGAGGTGGCAATACCTTTATCACAAGCTAGCCACAAATATGAAACCCACATCAGCCAGATGATGCTGAGCCACAGTGGAGAAAAACACCTTCGTTGGCAGTTTCAGAAAAGCCTTATTGACTCAACAGAGCAGGAACATGTAAAATGGCCAGTCTGGGTGTCTCATCATGACAGTGATGGTGGACCAAGAGCGAACACTACTGAAAATGCTGGTAAGCTGTACCTGGCACCCTTGTCCTGGAGCAATCAGGGACTCAATGCTCACGAAAACTGTAAAACTATAAATAAATGGTGGCCTAGGAATGACTTGTTCAAAGGTTCTCTTACAGTCATGATCCCCCGACCACATACAGCAATCCCAGCTACTCACGTCATTTTTGTTGAAGTACTTCAGTGCACCTTCCCTCTCCGATAACACAAATTTTCGGCTTAAGAACTGCCCGTTGTCACGTCCTCTCTTCCACAGAAATCCTTCTCGGTACCCTGCAGCAGAAGCAATTGCTGAGAACCAGGGATAAAATGCTCTATTTTAAAAAAAGAGACAGGGCAAAGAAAAGAAGAGCTTCGACTTCAAAACCAAGCAGACCAAATGTGTGGCTGGATTGCTCAAGACACGAACAAAACATGCCTTCTCCTTTAGATTTGCCCTTATCACTCCGCTCTTGCTCTTCTCCAACAGCTTGAGGTTCACAGATGGCCCCGCTCTGACACTGATGTGACAGGTAAAGGGACATTTCCACCGTGCATCCTGCACTGCAACACAGGTGAACACTTGAGGAGTGAGGCTGTGACCTGCCACAGCTCCCAGCTCAACTTACTCTCCTAAGTAGCACTTCTGGAGCAAGGGAAAGGCAGGCAAGACCTGTCCTCCTGCGCTGATGCTGTTCAAAAATTAAAAATAAGGTGTGTGTATGCAGGGAAAGTGGTTCAGGACAGATGGCTGTATCAGAGCAAGCCACAAATGTATTTTTCACATGAAAAAAGGGGAAAACTCTTGCTCTTCTTCCCACTGACTCCATGGCACTTTGGTTCAGAAAGTCACTGAGCCAGACTTGGCATCATCTGCCCTTGGAGAGGGTCCTTCCAGCCCCCAGGCACGGTGGCCAGGCAGCCTGGCTGGCCATGACATGCCTCTTTCTCCCTGGATATCAGCCCCATGGGTGGATTTGCTGCTCAGGAAGAACTCTATTCAAAATACCCCTGCGTTATTTAAAACTCAGAAGAGACAGAAAGAGGGGAAAAAAGAATCTAAAAATCTAAACTCCAAACCAGAAAAGCAATTACAGCTGCTCACTGCCAGCACCTCCTGCAGCAGCCACAACACACAACTTATTTCACAACAAGTTGAATTGACGCCCTTATTTGAAATGCTTCAAAACAAAGAAACCCCCAGAACTGTCCAATATAAGTTTTGTGAATATTAACAGAGCAGTTTGGTGGTTGTCTGGTTGTCTTCCATTTATTTAAGATATAATTATACAAAAGTTCCAGTGAAAAAGTTTTCCCTTTGTCTCTTAGTTTCACACTTGTTAAATTTTTGTTATTGGCTCTCAGGAGCTAGGATTTTAAAGTTAAAAATTTTATGGTTTATAACAACTTTCAGGTAATTAACTAAACTTATTTTTTTAGTGTGTGAAGCAGGTCTGGAATCAGCAGGCAGCCTGCTACGAACCAGTGGTGTGCAGAAATTCCTCATTCAACTTGCTTTTCACTTGTCCATCCTCATATAGAACTGATTTAAACCACAGATGAAAAGATGCAGAAAAATCCCTCAACCAGCTCTTCAACACTGACTCTACGGGCAATATAAAATGTTTCCATGCCATAAAAAACTAAAGCAAGGAAAAAAATGCACACAGACACATACTTAATGATCAGAAAAGGTGGGGAGAAAAGATATCGACAATGGCTGCAGATGCTAACCACAGGGAAAGTGCCCCTCTAGCCAAATATTTCTTTGCTGATAGTCAAAATACCAGTTTCTTCTGTCTGGATTTACAAAACTCTCAGTCAAATACTTTCTCCACATCCTCAAATAGACTTTTACTGAACGCCAGGCAAAGCCACCGGCGTCTGCCATCAGGGAGAGCGATGGCAAAGCCCATGCTGCTGCTAACGCTGAACGCTCACCACAGAGAGCACCACAAATCCCACCGGCGTGTCCCATGGCTGCCACGCCGGGCTGCTAACGGGCTGATAACTTGATGCAGATGGAAGTGGTGGAAATATTTAAAGCTGTCAACAGGTTTTCCTTTGTTTCTTTATTCTCTATGGGGCATATGCTGCAGCAGGGCTGTATTTTAACATGTGGGGTCTCACCCTGCCCCCCTGAATGGGATGCACTGCCACCCAAGAACCAGCACGGGTGTTTTCGTTTCAGAGCCTGCAGGGATCCCCCCTCGTGCATTACTTACAGCTCACTCACATGAGAGAACCAGCACAAGAAGAGCGTGCACCTCTCCCTGCCGTGAGAACCCACCACTCCCATGGTCAGGCAGACCCAGCAGCAACTGAGTCCGTGTCACTGCCCAGAGATGCCCACGAGACAGCCCAAACCCTCAGTTATCCCACAGCCAGATGGTGATGCCATGTCACTGTCCACCTCATCCTTCCACCTCCAAGCCCTCCCCATCCCTCTAGTGCAGGAGAAGTGCTCTGCCTGTGCAGAGCATCGTTACCCACACGCACTGGCAGCTGTATCCATCTACACCAGCCCTGTCACCCAGAGGACTGATATCACATGTATCAAAGGAATTACAGGTCTGAAGCTCTTTCTCTGGTCCACCCATCCACTTCAGAAGAGCCAGGAGCAGAACTAGCTAATTCAGTCCATCAATTCATAGAATCATAGAACCACAGAATCGTTTCATTGGAAAAGACCTTTGAGATCATTGAGTCCAACCGTACCTGTCCACTACTAAACCAGATCTCCAAGCACCCCATCTACCCATCTTTTAAACACCTCCAGGGATGGGGATTCAACCACCTCTCTGGGCAGCCCATTCCAGTGCCTGAGAACCCTTTCAGTGAAGAAGTATTTCCTGACATCCAACCTGTACCTCCCCTGGTGTAACTGAAGGCCATTGCCTCTTGGTCTATCGCCAGTTACCTGGGAGAAAAGACACACACCTGCCTCCCTACACCCTCCTGTCAGGTAGTTGTAGACAGTGATAATTCAATCCTATCCCAACTGTGAGCTTGCTACATACTTTTCTAACAAAAAGGCAAGACTAACCCATTGGGGGGTGAGAAAGAGAAGAGCCCCCAGGGAGCAGGATTATCTGAACTCTGAGAAAGGGGAAGCAGCCAAGAAAACCACCAAAACCCAGCCCAGGGCAGCCGCATCCAACAACAGCGCAGGAAAGGTTTGGGCTGATGTGCTCCTATCATCACCATGGTAGGAATTAATTGCTGGGGAACCAAAGCTCTGACTGATCCAGAGTCAGATCTACCTGCCAGGCTCGTATCAGCAAAAATGCTCCATAACCTACAGTGGGCTGTACACGACGGAGCTGAATAGGAATAATATCTCTGACAGGAGACAGACAGGCAGGAGGTGATGCTTGGCTGATGCATTTATAAAATATAAGATTTGCTTAATGTGAGGCAGAGATGCTGCCAGGGCTCTGACAGCGTTTGCTGACCGCTCTCTTGAATGGCAAAGCTTTAAGCAGCTTGGTCTCAAGGAGAGGCAGTTTCTCTTTCCCAAAGGGTGTTGATTTTTAACACCAAGCCAGTCAGAACAAAGGGAGAGTACTTCAAAACCCACCTCTATTCACTGAAAGGCAGAGATGGCTTCAGAGCCTCTCCACCTCCTCTCTGTACCCGACACAAACATCTCGTAGGGGGTTGGGCAGAGCTGGGTTTGGAGGAAAGGACATCAGTGTCAGATGAGAGAGAGGAGAGACAACACATAGAGAACAGGGACATCTCCAAATGCAAACACGGGGTGATGCAGAAGGAAGGATGACCTTTTCCTTCAGAAATCCCCACCCAGGGTTTGCTCAGTTCAGCAGAGCGCTGGGCACACAGAGCTCAGCTCTCAGCAGCTCCACAAGTTTTGGCTGTGGGTCTCATCCGTTCACTCATCTTGAGAGTTTAATGATGAACATCTGAATGGCAAAGGATGCTGCAGGCATTCCTTAGTAAAGTTGTTCCCCTCCACGACACATTTTTTGTGATTCTTCTTAATACTTGAGGGATGAAGAATAAAATTACTCTTCATTTCTCCAAAGAGGATCTCAAATAAATGCAAATCTGTAAAGCCCACCTAACACTTACCCCGGCAGATGGGCATCACAACAGTTAAGTACAAAAAGAGGGAAGCCCAGAGAGGTTTGGTGAGATGCCCAGGACAACACTGTAAGCTAGTGTCAAAGTCAAGCTGTAAATCCAGCTTTCCCTGCCCTCTTACATAGGGACATCTCATCATTTTGATCCTTCTCTTTACAACCTTTTGTGGCAAAACACAGTCTCCAAATTCCACTCCAAGGAAGAATCAAAAAAACCCCAACACACCACCAAGTGTTATCCCTTTCTGTAGTTCACATGCTGACTATTTCCAGACCAACTGCCTCTGCAAAAGAGCGTCTGGCTGCTCCGACAGAGCCAGCAGCTAATTTCACTGCACTCTGGTACAGATTTTCATAAATCCTTTGCTTGCTTCTTTTTCTTTTTTTCTTCCTTCCTCCAGGGCTGCGTCCTGGGGAGCGGCTCCTCTGCTCTGCCCAAACCTGCTGCCTGTGCCTCTGTCAACACCAATCAGTGTAAAACACCATGAACTGGACTTGAACCCAACATGAACTCATTCAGGTTCCCCGGGCAAACAGTATGTCAGCAAAACATGTCCTCCATGTCCTGATCTAAAGGACTGTGAAAACAGCTAGAGAAGGTGTTGAGAAACAAAACTGCAGGAGGTCGAACAAGGAAATATCTCACACTGGAGGGCACTGGAGTCGGAGAATGAAAACATCCCTTCCTCGTCTCTGTGGGCTGCACTACGTTAGCAACAGCTCCATATTTACAGATATCTGGCCAAATTCAGACCGTTGTGAGGGCTGTTCTGCTTACATAGAAGCAAGATGACTGCTAGCCCAACACCACTTGCTGATTGCTGGTGTTGGACCATGGAGCACTGTGTCGCTAACATGTTTGCTTCCTCTCCCAAGGTGCAGAACGAGGGATGCAGACACTTACCATCCCATTTCATCACCAGCACCCAACCGTGGCTGCAACAAGGACCACCTGGTGAAGACCTGCTGGAGAGCACCTATGGACACCCTTTAGAAGTATTGCTCTTGCATTGCTACCAGCACTGCTGTTCAGTTGTCAAGTTTTCTGCAGCACTTCAGCTGCCTGCCAAGAAGAAAATCCAATTGCTTGCTTTTGTAGGTACTTCTGGCACAAACCTGTGACTCTTGTGGGGAAAAAAAACCCCCAAAACCCCACCAAGCAATTGTGACAAGGTTAGACAATGAATGGCACATAATATAACCTGAAATCACACAACCAGATTGGGTATTTTTGACCTGTGACATAGTTTCTAAGGTAAAACAAGGAATTGTCACTTCCACACTCACTTCATCGCTGCAGCTAAAACTGTGGGGGAAAGAAAACAGGGTCATCATGTTGGTTGACCAAAAAGAAGACATTGCCTGGCCTTGTGACAGCTCCATTGAGTTGGTGGCTGGAGCTCCTCCAAGCCAGACATCTGAAAATGGCAGGACTCATTAGGTGCTCTAGACTAGCCCAGACTTCTCACCATCTGAGAGGCCACAGAGGAAGTAAGGGAGAGGATTTTCTGTCAAGACAATCTGACATAGACACTGTCTTTCCATCCAGCTTCCACCAGCCATTTCCTCAAGTTCCCCATTTTTTAAGAAAGGGATATTGCTACTTCTCCACCTCAGAAAGCCCTGATGGTGCTTAGTTAATGATGGGGTTTTTGGTCTCTGAGAATGTGGATTATAGGAAGTACCCAAAATTACTGTTTTAGTATCAGCCTTTGTTCTCAGAGAAGAAAAGAAACCCTCCTGCAAGGAGGGCAATCAGATCCACTGGCTTGGGAAAAAACCAAACCAAAACACACCTGGACTTTGCTTTCCTGCATCTTAAGTAAAGCATTATAAACTCGGAATTAAACCACATCTGCTCTTCCCTTTCTTTGGTGCTTTATTTAGCAATTTCACCTGGAAATAGAGGCATCAGAACTGCTTGTTTCCATGATGTTTCTAGGGCTGTGGTAAAACCAGGTCCGGTCCAAGGCTTTTAGGAGAAAGGTGTTAGTCTTTAGATCCAAAATCAAGCATAGCAACAAAGCCAATACCATACCCAAGCCCAAACCCATCACTGTGTTGTTTCTTGCCTTCCTGTCTCACTGCAGGACAAAGCACAGGAGGCTGAAATAGGAGAAAAAGAGGCTCCTCCATCTGCAGAAGTAGATTTTCTTTCCTCTAAGCAGTCAAAGTGCTTTGACCCCAATTCAGAGCTTTGGAGAAGATTTAAATACAACTACATCACTTTGCTGATAAAATTGCAGGGTATATATCACCACTTCTCCATATGTCAGAAGCCGAGTCATCTGTTACATTAACACTGTAAGATGTTAATTAAACCAGAACGGTAGATAGGTACTTCCTGGAGATGATGTGCCCACTTCTTCTGCAAGGTTAAGGAATTGCATAATTATTTGGAGCAGTTGAGTGGCAAATCCCTGACATCCTGCATCACCACTGACACCAATGTCACGACCTCCTTTTAAAACAAAGGGTCTGAAGGATATTTCTTATGAAATAAACCATATTGTCCATAGTCAGAGGACTGGATGGAGAAGGTGCCATATTCTAAGGATTCCATATGGACTGAACTTTGAATAGCGTTGCAAAGAGAACTGTACACCTCTTGTTTGGCTGTGTCAGTGTGAACTGTTTGGTTTGATTGCTGCTATTTGTAATAATTCTTCCTGTAGTGTTCAGCCAGCACCAAAGCAAGAGATTTCAATGATGTAAATTCGAATTTTTTAAACATTTGCATTTCAATTAAAAAAAGTATAAAAAAAGGAATACTAAATGTTCTCATGGAATGAAAACACCACTGTTTGCCCAGAGACAAACTCACCCTCCCCATACATAAGGGAGTCCCCCTGCAAGTGGTGTCAAGGTTGGGCAGACAACTTAGAGCTTGCAGTCAAGGCTGCAACCGCTCCACTGCACAGCATCAGCAGTGGATCTTTTTCCCCTCTCCTGTCTGCAGCTGGGCTGAGGAGCTTATAACTTCCCTGAAAATAATCCTGCAGTCATCTCCAGATACACACCCTTCCTGCTGGTTACATGTTCAGCAGTGCAGACACAGGTGGGTTGGAGGTGTCAGCATCCATATGTGCACGAGGCAGAGGAGACCTCAGAGGCTTGCTGGTGAGATGCATCCTTTCCCCCAGGTGTTCTCCTGCACAAGCCAAGTGAGGAGCCACCAAGAGCTGGTCCTGCTCAAGCACCGTTCAGTGCTTTGGAAATGAAAGCTTGAATAAGGAGCGAACAAGAATACGTTTAGTGACCCTGAAAACCAGTCTCTCTGCCCCTAGAAGGACTTCTGGGAGGTAAGTTCTTGGTGCACCTCATGTAAGGATGGCTGCCTGGCATGTCTCACATCATGCTCTCTCACAGGAGAGTGACCTTCCTTCATCTCCCTTAAGACAACTCTTTATCCCCCTCTAAGACAACACATCCTCATCACGTCTCACCCAGCCACGCAAAGGAGGCCAAGACCTCTCATGTGCCCACATCCCAACACAACACCCACACCAACCATTTTCTCAGGTACACACATTTTAGAGGGGAGAATTTCCCAGCTCTTAATCAATCAGTCCTCTCTAATGAGCATTTAGCATGCAAATTACCTTTCCTAAAGGCCATTTTGCAGAGAAGCGTTTCCTGTTGCCATCCAGTCTGCCTCTACTGCCTTCCAGGACCTCATAAAACAATTATTGTCCTGCTGCATAGTAGCATCATCTCAGCTATGGATGCAAGCAGCTGATTAGATCGATTGCTTCCACAATACCCAATTAACCTTCTCACTCAGCAAATGATTGACTTAATCAAATGCAATTAGCACTTGAATGGCTACATCAGACAGAAAGCCAGGATTTAGGAGATGATTGAGATAACACCTTACAGACATCTCCTTGGTCTTCTAAGGGAAAATATCATAATTAATGCTCAGCTCAGACCTGGAAGTACCCGAAACCTTCAGTCGGTGGTTTCAGATGGCACAGAAGCCACAACAGAGGTAGGAACACATACATTTCCCTTTACTGACAAAGGGAACAACACCACATGCTACTCCTAAAGGGAACTTGAAAAGCATCGATGTTCCCCTTTCCCCTTCTCTTCCTGCTCAAGCAGGACTGGGAGCACCAACCAGCTGAACAGACCTCAATGACCAACTGTCACAAAATGGTAATTTTTGTCCCTGACAGCTCTAGAGAGTCAGTCCCTGAGTGCTGGACATACAAGGTTGTCTCCCATTACCAATCCTCCAAGCAAAGTCAAACGTGTTTCACAAAACCATCTTCAAATTGATGTCTTGCAAGGTTATCTTCTCCCACAACATCAAAAAGCCACCCAAAAATACAGGATTTGTCTCTGCAGAAATGCGAGTGTCAGTGTTCTCACAGACTGTTTTTCCTTCAGATAAACCACCCCAAACCAGCACAGCCAAGATAAAGCCTCACCATGGGAAGGTCAAGGACAGCAACCCATGCCCCCTAAAATGGAGGATAGAGACCATTTTAGATCATGTGTAGAACAACTTCAAGGCTGAAGCCAAGCATGGAAAACAAACTTTCCAGATCACTGCAAAAATACGTTGTCATCTTGCTTCATCTTGAGCAACAAAGCCTTTGAAATAGAAAAAATAATTTGTTCAGCTACCCAGCAGCTGGGATCAATATGTGAAACGGAGCCAAATACATCGTCTCTACAGAAAAAACACCGGGCCGAGCTTAACAACACATCAAGGTCCTGAAGTTGACGGAAAGAAGATGAGGTCTGTCCCCATACATAGGCATGTGGTATTTAAATGCAAGGTTGGTCCGTGGGTTTCCAGTCCCTTTTAATGTCATCATGAATACACTTGCGTTGCTGGCTCACAGCTGAAAATCCAAATTGCTTCTAAGCAAAGCCCCAATAATAAAGCTGAAATCCATTAAGCCAGTGATGTTTGCCACTATTTAAATCTGATTAAAATTGTACATGACACCACTAAGCCTAACAGTCAAAAAACACTCCTGTCAGGTTTGACGTTTCCCCGTGTAATCCAGACCCCCCCTTCTTTCACCAGATTGTCAGCTAAAAGGAGCCATAATAAGAGATCACGTACCTAATCCAGCTTCCTAAGCTGTTTTTAACTGGTTTCTTTAATTACATGTTACGATTCCCTACGGAGTAGCTCTCAGGTGACAAAGACGTTAATACCTTCTGGGAGCACGAATGACTGTATCTCAGATGGGATCACCTTGCCCCTTGTGCCAACTGAGTGCAGCAGAAACAAGACACACTAGGTGCCTCGTGGATCATGGGGAAGCTGCTGGTGGGATGGAAGGTGGGAAATGGAGGCAGCAGGAGGTGACAACCTCTGGGCAAGGGACTGCAAGGTAAAGTGGTGCAAAGGACACTCGCCAGAGAAAAATCTCCTTTTAAAAGAGTGATTCTTGATCTCCCAGTGAGCACTCACCTCCCATGAAAATGCTGCATGGGAATGAACAGCAGGAGAAAATACCAAAATATACAATTGCCAAGTCTTCACTTGACCACTGCAGACACATCAGGTTTGGTGTGCACCATAGAGAACATGGCCACATCCTCCCTTTTATCAGTCTATCTTATAATTGACCATTGATACAGTACAACTTCCCTGGTAATTTAATTATTGAACAAGTATTTACATATTAAAGATAAGACAATAGTTGGCTGCTGCAGAGCAATTCGTTGTATCTGCTGGGAGACAATAAAATCTCTTTCTATAAGAAGAAGTCTTTACTGCAAGTCTAGTTACTAAGAACTGAATGTACAATCTAATTTTACTTGGAAATCAAATGCTTCCTCTTCGAGTGGCATCCCCGCACACCCACCTGGGAGCTGCTGGCTGCTCAAAGAAAAAAAATCCCGTTACAGGTAAATAACCTCCAAGTTTTGATCTTTTGAAGCCAGTCTTTTATTACAAAAAGGCAGATGAAAGCTGAGAGGTTCCCCATGTGATGCTCATCCCATTTACCAGCACTGAACGCACTCAAAGCCTGATTTAGCCGGGAAGCTGAGCAAGAAAATGCTTAAGGACAGGCACAGAGTACTAAATCATAATGATCTCAGTACAGCACCGAGCTGGCAGAAGCTGAAGTTTGAGAGCAAAACTACTCCCAAACCAGAGACCAGGATCCTCCTTGGGCAAGACACCACCACCTTAAAATGTCCTCGCTGCAGCCACTGCAAGTTACATGCACAAGAACTGCACGGGAAGATGAACTGCAGCTTTCTCATCCCCTGGAGAAACTGCTGCCACCATCCCAAACCCATCACCCCCTGCCCAATGCTGCCCACACACAGGGTTGGTCCTGCCTGGACCTCCACAGGTGGAAGAACCCACCCACAGCCTCACATGAAACCCAACGACTTTTATACAGAAAGCAAAGAGGTGAGACACCAAAAGACTTGGGGATAAGGAGCCTTTACACTCACAACACGCCTCACAGATGGGCTTTACCAACCTACAGCCTGCTGAGGCTTCAGCTCAAAACAACTGCCAAGCACCAGAAACAACCTGAAGGTCTGGATTTCATACAGGCATCCTGTAGAGCCTCAAACCACACCTATGGGATCAGACTAAAACAGCCTCCAAGCCCTGAATAATTTTAGATGGGTTCCTTACCCACAACCAGTAAATGAAATCTCAGCCAGGGCAGCTGCTGATATAGATCAGTCCAAGCAAGGATGAGATTAATTTAATCCCCCAACAGAGTTTTACAGAAGTCAGCAGAGAAGTTTACCACCAACTTCAGAGGGGTTTAGGACCCTGTCTCCAGGGCATCCCAGAATAAAGCATTCTCCCCACGTAGGCAGCATCGCCGTACAACCATAAATCACAGAAACCCATCTCACATGCACATAACATTCCTCTTTGTTTGCTTTGAAGAGAAATCCAAATGGCTTCGAGCACATCTGCTGTGGTGCTAACGGCTCCTGATCATCTATTATTGAGTGTTTGACACATTTACAGTCAAAGATATCGCTTTATGAAGGGAATGGAGAATTCTTTAATTTAGAACTCATTCCTTTCCTGGCTGCTGGTTTTATAGCTATCCCAGAATAAGCTCGTATCAGATGCTCTGGCAGCTGTGGTAGCAGGGCAGGGGCACTCAGCAGCGCAGCCACAAATTCCTGGTTGCATGAGGACCTTTGCACACCTTGTTTCTTCTACAACTATCAACCCCCATCCTCTGAAGCAACACGATCCCCCTTTATTAACTCCCATAACAATATAAACCAAGGCTAAATTCTGCAGAAATCATTGACCAAAACTCCCATTGACTTTGCCACGCTAAAATTTATTCTTCCAGCCTCTGCAACACATGAAAGTTTGAAATTCACTCCTTGCTGAGCAGCCTCTTTGTGTTTTAGGTCTTTTAGGGATATTCTGTCTATAACTGACGAGCCACATAATCTCTTCCCTCAAGGGCTGCCCTGGTTATGAAAATGGACCTGGCTCATGGAGGTAGCTGCTGTGCGTGCATCTCAAGGCAGCAACGTTTTTAAAACCAGTCCTGTTTAGCCAGCTGTGGAGGCACCTCCCAGCACAATTTCATTGTAAGCATCCAAGAGGTGGGGTGTGGACAACTGCGCTGCTGCAGACATCTCTGCTGCATTGGAAATTTCAAGGTGAAAACCTCAAGGTGAGGTCACTATAGGGGAAAAATGCAGATGGAGATGGGCTGGTGCCAGTCAGAAAGAAGCATCAGCAAATGCTCACGCTTCTCAGTCCAGGCTGATCTAAGGCTCAAATACATCTTTGCAAACTCTGGAAAAAGACATGACCTCACTCTGGAAAAATGTTCTGTATCTGGTGAGAGACAGAAACTGCCTGGCCTTGCGCGGATCTCCAACGTAAAACGGATCTTTCTTTAATAGAAATGTAATTAAGCTAGGACGAGTTGCCATGAAATCAGCCTTTTCCATGTACTTTGTTATCATATTGCTTCCTAGTCTCTCCCTTCTCATTAGCAGAAGAAAGATGCACCAGTCTTAGTCCTGTGCCACTATACAGGGAACAGGAACATGCAGAGTATAAAAACACCGAGAAACACCAGATCTGGGACACCAAGAACTACCTTCATAAACCATCAGAAACAGAAAGGGATGGTTCCTCTATTCTTTCCCTCAGTGCTTGTTATCACAAACATGGAGACTGATATTTCTCTTTAGCTCTCTCCAATTAGTATAAATCCATTTATTGACTGTAAAAAAACAAGGTTACAGGAACAGACAGCCTGAGCAATATCAAAATAGAGCATTTCAAGTTGGTTGTTAGGGAAAGATCAAAGACAGGAGTGACTCACACTAATTATAATTGGGGTGTTTCACATACTTATTGATCTTATAAGCCTATATTCACCAGGTGGACTGACTCTTCCCAGGGACACAGACAGCTCAGAGCATCTCCAGGGAGCATCCAGGGCACGTCCCAAACACTGGCAGCACATTCAGCCAACAAAGGAACCCAGGGGCTGGAGGGTCTCAGACCACCTTGCCCATGAGAAACTGTACAAGTTCAGCAAATACAACTGACCTCAAATTGACCACAAATGAAAACGCTTTCGATCTGAATTGACAAATGTAAATATTTTTGTTAAGGATGATGTAAAATGAAACAACATTTCTTAGGTGTGCTTTTTCGAGGGGAAAGAAATCTAACCAAGTATTTTGCACGCAGTGCTTACATAGAGAAAAAAGAAAAAAAACCCCAACTATTTAAAATTTCATGGGCCAGCCCTTTACCCCTTTGGTACGGCTCACTTCCATGCCACTGCTTCCCCTACAACAAGCACCGCTGCTGCTTTACTTTTGCACCAGAGCTTCTGCTCTTTGGCTAATTATAGAAGCTTGGATCAGAGCTATGCTGAAGGCAGCTTGACAGAACCAGCTGTTAAAATTACAGCTGGATCCTAAACTAGCTGTGAACATCCAGCTTTAGCTCGCCATGGTGCTACTCCCTCCCCGAGCTGGCTGCCAATGCCTTGCTTGGCCAACTGCTCCTCCTCCTCCAACCCTCCAGCTCAGACCCACAGGTCCTCACCTGTGAATTTTGTTTGCCTAAATGCTCTTCTGCTTTAGGGGAGCTGAAGACATCAGCGTATTTCTCTTTGCTAGATGTTTTTCTTCCTACAGTAACTACCTGCAAGAGGAATATTGATTTCACGCCACCCCATCACTGGGTCACTGCAACGTTCATGAATTTCCTGGAGAGTGTAACAGCAGTTGCTGGCCTCTCGCCACAGCCCAGACAGGTGGAAAAAAATAAAAATACACCAAAGTTATATCTAAAAGAAAAGCTTTTGCATTTGGAGCCTTTTCCTTTGTCTTCCGGTGGTGACTTTGTGTGGTGTATCCTTAGCAAGGCTGGGAAACGGTGCAGCATCTTCCTTTGATTTTAACGGAGCCTCATGAGGCAGCGTTACTCTTTCTGAGGGGCTGCACTCAGTCTGAACCTGCCAAATTTCAAAACGCTTCTGGAAAGCGCTGAAAAAGTGCTCTGGGTCTTGGTCATATGATGCCTGCTCTGCTGAAACACCAGCACATCCTGGTACGGGAACGATGCCACGCGCTGGTCCCTGTCACAGCCCTGCTCCCCTGGCAGGAATAAAAATAATAAGACAAACACCCTGTGATCTGCCCCCCTTGCATCCTCCTGCCTCATAAGATCCGTGTTTGATGTTCTGATCATTCATATTGCCAAGTTGCTATAGGGAGCAAGGGCTGAGCAGGACCCACCACAGGCAGCTCCCTGGACTCACTGCTGAAGCTGCAGCAGCTGCCTTTAGTCCAGCTGGGGATTGTATCTGCTGCTGGTTTCTTTTGTGGATTTTTTTCAAATGGATCCCTTTCCTTCCAAGGCAATTTGGCTCAATATTTATTCACTCTGGAGACAGGTTGTTGCGTGAGTTTTCACTCTGTTCTGGATAAGGCTGCAGAGAGCAGGAGAGGTGACCTGCACAGCATCCTCCCCCCCGTCCACTTCCCACTGGAACAGCGTCAAAACACACCGAGGAAGAAGAAGTAGTCATTTGTTTTAAAGTAATTACTACATTTCCCTCAAACCTCCAAGGAGAGGATGGGGAAAGATTTCTTGGAGCAAGTCCTGACAGGGAGCTGTGTAATGTTAAATGCAGGATTATACTGGAAAGGCAGGAAAAGGAGGCTGAGCATCACCAAGTGGTGTCCTGTCTGCATCAGCTGAACATACTTTTCCTCAGAGTTTCCTCCTTCATCCATTTCAATTTTTTTTTCCAGAGCCTTTCAGCTTAGACTGTGCTTCCCCATTAGACAAAAATTTTGAGGGAGAAAAAAGAATCCCCAGCCCTTAGTCCCCCTTTTCTGTACCCAAAATCCACAGCACAAGCATTGGCATATGGGTGCAGACACCAGACCTTGCACCCACCTGCTGAGGCATCGCACCCTGCCCTGCTCCCGGGGCTGCAAACTCCGCAGGCGAGGACGGAGCCGCGGCGGCTCAGACCCATGGAGCGAGGCACGCCGAGCAGCGTCTCACCCAGCAGCACATGTGCTCCAAGCACCAGCCCCACGCTAAGTGAGATGTCTAACACCTCTCTCCAGCCATGGGAGAGCCCACCCAGGGGTGCAGGGAGGCAGCTCTGGGGACCAGTGCCCACTGAGCCTGGTTCCCAGCATGACTCATGTCCTGGCCGGTGGCTGATGTCAGTGTCCGGAGAACAGAAGCCCTCTCTGTGGCTTGGGCAGCATGGGAAGGAGGTTTCTGAAGGAAGTTTCTGTGCAAGGTTTCTCGCTGCAGGGATGCCTGTGCTTTAACCCCCTCCTGACAACAACACATCAGCCTCCAGTAACCTTGATACTAGGCTG